CTAAGGGGCTAGCCAACCCCATTTTTGGCATCCCCCCCCCCCCCGGCTTTATGGGAGGTTTGTAGAATTTGCCCTCTCCCTGGGGCCGGGGGGGGGGGGGATGCCAAAAATGGGGTTGGCTAGCCCCTTAGCAGCCTGGTGTGATCTCTATTGGCCTCTTGGATCTTTTAATCTCTTTTTATCTCTGTAAGTGTGGTTCTTTTATAACTTTTAATCATGGGTTTATGATTTTAATTTGATGTAAGCCTCCCAGAGTCCCCCATTGTGGGAATATGGGCGGGGACAAGTCCAATAAATAAATAAATAAACAAATAAATAAATCTTTGTCTTTTCATGTCTAATCAGTAGCATTCCACTGCTCAATGGGAGGTGAGGGTTGGAGGGATCTTCCCAGACCCACTGCTGTTATTGAAAAGAGCATCACCATCTGCACACAGTAGCACAGAGAGATGTCTGTTTGTTAGTTTGGACAAGTGAAATCTAGATCAGTCTGACTGACTGACTGACTTAGTATAAAGATTAAATAGAAGAAGCATTAGTAGCATTTCTGTTTAACCCCTTTCCATTAGTATGAGATAAGATAAACTCCCAAATGATTACTCATAAAGATATATTGACATAAAACTGCTGAATTAAAAATAGATGACGCTGACCAATGATAGTTGCCTCCAGTTTTCTCCATAATTTATCCCTGGGAATGAGTTCAAAGGTGACTTAAGATTTTTAAGAAGTTGTACATCGAAGTCCCCAAGGATGGGTTTATCTACTATGGGATTGTTCACTTACTCTGCCTGGTGTACCATCAGGATTATTTCCTGTTTAATCCAAATCTGTCAGTTTCTGGGATATGTATCCTGTGTAAATATCTTACTGGGCAGTGGCTAGATTTCTTACAAATGGAGAGAAAAAGTTGGAGCCAGTCTTTAATCCTATAGACCATTCTGCCTTTGGGGGTAAATAAAGCTGTAGAACCAATATTGATCTTCAGTATTTATTTTAAACAATTCAGGCAGTAGATGGTCCCTTCTCAAACTTTTCTGGTTTTTGACTGTACGCACAAATTTGCTATCTTAGAAAGAAGAAAAGGCAGCCAAATTGGAAGGAAGTTCAAAATAGGTTTGGAAGGAATTTAAAGAAATAGGTTCATCAGAGTAAAATAACATGAAAATACATTTCTTTAAGTATCTGCAGAAATATGACCAAGCAAACCCATAAGAAGATCTGAAATACAATTAAACTGAACTTACTGCTTTCTTTTTCTTAAAAGATGAGCATTTCATAATGAAGCTGGTCTTCCTCCTATGTCCCATCACTTTGAAGTCACCTCTGAAAGCTGAAACCTGTAGAGGAGCAGAACTTAATTAGATGATCTAAAAAGTTAATAGAAAAAAAAGTATTCCCAATATAAATTGAGGTTGTGGAGAGTTAGTCAAGTTTTTAAAGCATTTGATAGAAATTTTTAACATTGGATAGACAAGGAATGCTATGTCTTTAAGTACATACTTGGATTCTGAATATATTGGAAGGTAATATTACTATCCAAGTTTATTGCTGCTGGAGGTGACATCTACAAAGTCCTTTTGTGTGCTTTTATTGCCCTCTAGTGGTTCTCCTTTCTATTTTCAGGGAATATAAAAGAATGGTTTAATGCTTTTTTAAATTACTACAACTGTTTCCACAGGAACCAAGACACCTGCAGTTGCTAGCTGATCTTGAAGACAGCAATATCTTTTCATTAATTGCAGGCAAAAAAATGTACAGTGCACCTACAGACTATGGCTTTTGTATAAAGGTAATGGCTTTAAATCTTACAAGATTGTGGTTCATGGTGTTAAACTTCATAGTTTTATATGACTTTTAAAATGATTGTGATTTCAGTTATATCCTGAGTTTTACCTTAGATAGAGAAAAATCATACAAATTAGAACCTTGTCAAATTTGGTATTGCGTGTAATTATTAGCCATCAAATCAACATAATATTAATGGTCCCCATTTCATGTTGTAGCAAAACAGTAAACTCATTATGTACCTTACATCAACTATTGTACTTTCAACCTCTACATCAATTTCTTCAAAAAGGAGATAATGCCTATATGCTTATACAGACATTTTTCAGTTTATATGAACACTCTGAAATATTCCACAATATAGCGAATTCTTGGGATTTATATATCACACCTAAACTGTAAATTAATTTCATGGCTGAGAGACAGGATTAATATATTTTTTGTTTTGTTTTGTAGCCCAACAGAGTAAGAAATGAAACTAAAGAATTAAGATTGCTGTGTGCTGAGGATGAACAAAGCAGAACGTGCTGGATGACTGCCTTCAGACTACTCAAGGTACTGGTTAGCCATGGGCTAGTTTATTTTTAATAGCCTCCATGTGGATTATCAGAGGTCCTGCATTCATCCTTGGTATAGACACAGGCAGAGTTAGGATTTTTAAAATATTTACAGTACTGTGCAAAAGTTTTAGGCAGGTGTGAAAAAATGCTGTAAAGTAAGAATGCTTTCAAAATATATATTGTAATTGTTTATGTTTATCAATTTACAAAATTCAAAATGAGCAAACAGAAGAGAAATCCAAATCAAATCAATATTTGGTGTGACCACCCTTTTGGCTTCAAACCAGCATCAATTCTTACACTTGT